TACTCTGCTGTGGTTGGGAAGCCGACGCCAGGCTGGTCACCAGCGGGGGTGCCGGCCGGGGTCCTGCCACCACCACGTCTCCTAGGAACACAGGTGCCTTTCCACCCTGCAGGCCGGCGGGGCCGGAGCGCTGGGAGACGGGTAACCGGCTCCTTCTTCGGTCCTTTGGAGGAGTTCTGTTAATATTTTTGTTTTTAATATGCTTTTTAAAAAGATTTTTATTGATTTCAGATTGGAAGGGAGAGGGAGAGAGAGAGAGAGAAACATCAATGATGAGAGAGAGTCATTGATTGGCTGCCTCCTGCACGCCCCGCACTGGGGATCCAGTCCGCAACCCAGGCATGTGCCCTTGGCTGGAACCGAACCTGGGACCCTTCAGTCCACAGGCCGACGCTCTATATATTGAGCCAAACCAGCCAGGGCTTGGCTGCCTCTTGCACGCCCCCTGCTGGGGCTCCAGCCCCAAACCTGGGCATGTGCCCTGACCAGATGGGTGCCTGGGTCTAAGCTCAGTCAGCTGGGCCACACTGGCCTGGCGGGTTCTGTGCGCTCTCTGCTGCCCTCGCGAGCTGCTCTGGTGCGTTTCCAAGCGGTTGCTTCCCCTCCCTTCAGAAGCTGGAGGTTCCCCCTGAGACTCACTGTGGGAACCCAGTTGAACTCCTGGAGGTAAAACTCACAAAAGTGTGGGGAACGTCCTGGGACTGGGTCTCGCTGGAGTTTGAACTCTCAGACTGGTCCACACGGAGCCTCCAGCAGTGTGTCCCTCCTTACAGTTGAGTTTTTCCTGCCTGACTCTGTGAAATTCGCTTTGGTAAGTTGAGAGTGTCTGTCTTCACCCGTCTGTCCAATTGGAGGGCCCTGGTTTGCCCAGGGACCCCACTTCTCTCACAGAGCTGAGAAGGGTTGTTGACTTTTCAGTTTGTTCTGTGTGAAAGTGGTGACTTTCATGCTCCCTCCAAGTGCTCAGCGCTTGGATTGCTGTACCTTTGTAGTAAGTGGTGAAATCAGGAAATGTGAGTCTTCCAACTTTGTTTTTTCTGTTTTAAGACTGTTTTGGCTTTTCAAATCCATGGGAATATTTGAATTAGCTTTTCCATGTCCAGGGTGGGGCGGGGGAAAGGCCATTGGGCTGTTGATAAGTATTGCGTTGGATCTGTGTAGATCGATTTGGGAAGTATTAACACGATTGAGTCCTCCAATTCATGAACATTGTTGTCTTTTCATTAATTTAGGTCTCTAATTTTTCAGCAATGATTTATAGGTTTCAGTGTACAAGTCATGCATCCTTTTGGTTAAGTTTATTCCTAATTATTTTATTTTTTTGATAGCTGTATACATAGAATTATTTTCTTACTCCATTTTTTTAAATATATATATTTTATTGATTTTTTTACAGAGAGGAAGGGAGACGGAGAGGGATAGAGAGTTAGAAACATTGATCAGCTGTCCCCTGCACACTCCTACTGGGGATGTGCCCGCAACCTAGGTACATGCCCTTGACTGGAATCAAACCTGGGACCTTTCAGTCCGCAGGCCGACGCTCTATCCACTGAGCCAAACTGGTTAGGGCTTAATCCCATTTTTTGGATTGTTTATTGCTAGTGTATAGAAATAACACTGATTTATGTTTGTCTTGTATCCTGCAACATTGCTGCATTCCTTCATTAGCCCTAATACTGTGTGTGTGTTTATTTAGGATTTTTTATATATAAGGTCATGTGACGTGTGAATGGAGATAGATTTACTTCACTTTTTCAATGTGTATGCCTTTAACTTCTTTTTCTTGCCTACTTTCTCTGGCTGTCCATTACAATGTTGAATAGAAGCAGCAGAAGCAGATATGGGTGTCTTGTTCCTGGTATAAGGAAGAAAGGTTTCAATTTTTCCTATTGAGTATGATGTTAGTTGTGGGCTTTTCATAAGTTCATTTTGTCATGTGGAGGAAGTTCCCTTCTGTTTCTCATTGTTCAGTGTTTTGTCGTGAAAGGTGAGAGACATTGTGTCACCCAGGAAATGCCAAGGGATTTAGGGACTTTGCGTCAGGAATTGGGATCAAAGACCACACATTGGACAGAAGATGCTCCTACTATTCTTATGAGATTGCAAGGCTTGTAGGAGCTGCCAGGAACCAGGGGCAGATATGCATATACTAGAGGCCCAGTGCACGAAATTCGTGCATGGGGGGCGGGGGGGGGGGGCCCTCAGCCCAGCCTGTGCCCTCTCGCCTCAGACATCCTTAGTGCTGCCGCCATTGCGCTTGCCAGCTGTGAGCCTTGCTTCTGGCTGAGCGCACTGCATTGAGCGTCTGCCCCCTGGTGGTCAGTGCACGTCATAGCGACCCATGGTTCCACTGTTTGGTCGATTTGCATATTAGCCTTTTATTATGTAGGATATCCGTGGTTATATGTTTATTAATAGTGTGTGTGTGTGTGTGTGTGTGTGTGTGTGTGTGTGTGTATTTCTGTTATCCCACAGTGGTGTTTCTTTTTATTTTTTTCTTTCAACTTGTTAGTGTCTGGCCCTCTTCCCCCTCCTGTCCCAACTTTTAGACTAATTTTCAGTTCTGTTTTATCATCAGTAATCATTTTGTATCCAAGTCTTATTATTTTCTTCCTTTGAAATGTTTGTTACATGTATACTTTAAAAAAAAATACATTCCCCCCCTGCCAGCATAGTAGAGCAGGCCAATAGCCCCTCATCCTGGGATTATGTAATGATTTCCTAAACCAGTTCCTTTCTTCTAGACTAATTCATTTTGTAACTATTCTGACACTGACATTTTAGGAAATTATTTTTGCCCTTCACATTCAGCATTATTAAACATTTGCTATATTCATGGAATATAGCAGAGGACGAGGAGAATAGATGTGATTTTTTGTTGTTAATCCTCACCCGAGGATATTTTTCCATTGATTTTTATAGAGAGTGGAAAGGAGAGGAGAGACAGAGAGAGAGAAACATCCATGTGAGAGAGACACATCAAGTGGTTGCCTCCTGCACGGGCCCCTACCAGGGCTGGAGCCTGCAACCGAAGTATGTGCCCTTGACTGGAATTGAACCTGGGACCCTTCAGTCCCCAGGCCAATGTGCTATCCACTGAGCCAAACTGGCTAGGACTAGATGTGATTCTTATCTCAATTCATATGAGGAGATAGAATTTAAATATAAATGTGATTTCTTCCTTCAAGTTACTTATTGTTTAGTTGCAGAGACCACAGAAGCACTTGAGAAGTCTAATAAATAGTAAAATGTAATATATATTTTCTCTTTTTCCCCTCCAGGTTCCTGTTGCATGTAAATCTTGTCCCTGTGGTTATGTATTTATTAATAGGAATCTCCTAAAAGTAAAACAGTCAGATAAGTCATCACCTTTTACAGGTAATTGCAAGTTTACCATCTTTTCAGCTTTTATGGCTTTTGTTATATAGATTAAAAATTAATTTTTGTTAGTTAATTTTTTTTTCTGCTGCTGAAGTTATAATATTAAAAGTCTATTGATCCCTGGCTGGTGTAGCTCAATTGAGCATCGTCCCATGTACTTTGTGGTCACCGGTTCTATTCCCAGTCAGGGCAGCCAATCGATGTTTCTCTCTCCCGCTCCCCTCCCCCCTTTTTAAATTGTTGACACTATTACATATGAAACAATTCTTTTTTTCTTTTTTTTTTTTAATATTCTTTATTGATTTTTAGAAAAAGAGGAAGGGAGACGGAAAGAGAGAGAGAGAGAAACATCGATTGGTTGCTTCCTGTACACTCTCCACTGGGGATGGAGCCTGCAGCCAGGGCATGTGCCCTGGCCAGGAATTGAACTGACATGACAGCCTTTCGGTACATGGCAGGATGCACAACCAACTGAGCCCCACCGGTCTGGGCTGGAACAATTCTTTACAGTAGAATTTCAGTTAATAACTGGAAGGATTGCGGGTAATAGAAAACCAGCACTAGCTAAACAGTAATCATGGTTGCAGTCAAGATCGACCAGTGGATGGTAAAGTTGGTGAGTGAAAATTTGAGGAGAAATAAAATTTTTTTATAAAATCAAAGTATTCCCCCAAGATCTCCATTAACCCCAAAGGGAAAGATAAGAACTTTGCAGGGGTGAAACCTGCCAAAATTTACCTTAATCAGGGATCATGGTGAACAGCACGATAATAAAACATTGACACCATGAAGCCTGTGATAGGGACTGAAAAGGCTATCGGCTTTGTGTACTCTTGCCAAAAATGCAGAACCTTAGTCCAATCATTAGAAAACATCAGCTAAAAAATAAGAAGAAGAAAAACGAAAGAAAGAAACATCAACCAAATTCAATGAGATACATTTGACAAAAGACAAAAGAACCAACCAGTCGGTATTCTGCAGAAGAGTCAGGGTCGTGAAAGATCAGGGAAGAGGAGGCACTGTGTTGGAGATGGGAGGAGACCAAGGAGTCAGGGCAAGTAACTAATGTGGGGTCTTGCTTTTACAATGACCTGTTTTTGCCTAATGGAATCTCTGTTTTCTCTTTGAATTTTTAAGGCATGTTTTAGAATGTCTTATTTTTTTTAAAATATATTTTTATTGATTTCAGAGAGGAGGGGAGGGAGAGAGAGAAACATCAATGATGCAAGAAAATCATTGACCGGCTGCACGCCCCACACTGGGGATGGAGCCCGCAACCCAGGCATGTGCCCTTGACAAGAATCGAACCCGGGATCCTTTAGACTGTAGGCTGACGCTCTGTTCACTGAGCCAAACCGGTTAGGGCAGAATGTCTTATTGTAACTTGCCTGAAAATGTCTGTGTTTTAGATTGTTCTATTATTTGTATGCAGTTCTGAGGTATGAATTCCTGTGTCCCCTCACCACAGTGGCTTTGAGGTTCCCTCCCCCCCTTATGCATTTGGGGAAATCTTTTGCTTTTGGATTTTAGCTCTGTATTAAAACAAGTTTTCTTTTTGATTGTATCTTAACCAGCATGTTTGTTTGAAGTAGAAGAGGCGGCTTCTTGCATTAATTAAATCTATATCGACAGGAAACCTTTCTCAATTTCTATGCCATTTAGGAACAGCAGGGTAAATGACTTTCAGTGTATTAGGAACTAAAATAAAGCTACTCACTTTCCTAATATCTTGTAGTTGCAAGATGTATTTTTTGTTCTTTGGTAACAGTATATTATGGTTGAGGTCACATTTTTTTCTGCTCTGGTAATGGAAGCTGATTGACTTATTTGAAATAGTGTAACTTAGAATTTAGGCGAGGGTACTTTCACCGTCCTGGAAGCAGAGGGGGAGAAAAAGGCAGAAAAGTTGCTGTGAAGGGATGTGTATGTATAAGGGGCTGGGATTAAAGCTGTTGAAAGAGAAATCTTCCTCCTTACTGCCCCACGATTTCCCCAAACACTGTCCCGAATGGAATTCTGCTGAATCTCTCTTCCTTTTTTTAAAAAAAAACCTTCGGTGAGTTTAGGAAAGGAGTGTTATGGTTGTGTTTTAAACAATGCACTGGGCAATGGACTATAGTGCCATTTAAAATACGTAAAAGACGCAACTACCGGGGTGGGGTGCAAACTTAGGCAAACGGTTCTTTCACGTCCCTAAAGTATATTATTTTTACTCGTCTACACCAAAATTAAGTATGAAGCCAAGAGCAGTGAATTAGAGAGGCTGAAAGAGGATAAAGAGGCCGTGAAGTAGCGGCCATTCAGATCATCTGCACAGGGAAGAGGAAGACCTGAAACACTGTCAGAGCATAAGGAACAGGCATTCATCAGCCCGTCCTGGGAGGGTGTTTTCCAAGCATCAGATTGATCTGCGACCCTAATTGGGCAGCACTGAAAAAAATGGAAGGCGTTGAGTTCCTGGATCTCAAAGCACAACTCATAGTTTAGTTCAAAATAATGTTTTCTATGGTAGATGCTTATAAAATTACTGGCAGTTGGGTTCCTATGGGAAAACCAAAAGACTGAAACATAACATCCACCTGATAGAAACTGATCCAAACTTCCCATCTGAATGGGATTGCTGCTGCTTTCTCGGCAACGTAACTGATGGCGAAGTAGGTGTCAGGCCTGTGCACTTGTGTTGTTTAGGGTTCACGATGATGGCGTGCTCTGCAGTCGTCTTTGATGGTTGAGCTTTCATTGTTTATTTTCTCCACAGAAGTGAGCCATACCATGTCTTTGAAAGATTTGCGAATACTTTTCTTATATGAGTTTAAACTCGGACACAGTGCAGCCACGGCCAGCAGAAACATCATCTCCGTCTTCGGAGAAGGCTCTGTGAACGAAAGGACCATCCGGTGGTGGTTTGAGAAGTTCCGTTCTGGGGATCTGAGTCTGAAAAATGAGCCTCGCGGGAGACCCAGGTCGGTCCTAAATGAAGACGAGCTGCGAGCCATGGTGGAAGCGAACCCCAAGAGCGCCATCCGGGGCCTCGCCGCAGACCTAGGCGTTTCTGCTACAACCATTTCTCGACACCTGGCTGCGATGGGAAAGGTGAAAAAGTTGGACAAGTGGGTGACAGCAGCTGATGGGTGATCATGAACAGGTGGTTGGAGAGACGCTCATCCCTTAAGATTTGGAAGAGCAGAGACCTTATGAGAGCGTCCTGAGTGTGACAGAAATGAAATCGAAAGGGATCTGGACAATGGCTGGATGTTGATGAAGTTCCCCAACGTGTTAAAAACCTTCCTTCTACCAAAAGAGGATCCGGTAACTGTGGGTGGTGTGCACACAGGGAGTTTCAACACTGCGTGTTCACCCGAACTGCTCTCCCTGCTTAAACGAGCTCGCATTGCCCCAGTCGCTCTACAGCACTCTGCGCTGGTCCGCAGACGTGGACCTGTCCTGCCCAGGACAACAGTGGACTGCAGACGTCACAGACCGCCATCGGGAGGTAACTGAATCGGGCAAAGGAATTTAGCGCATCCATCAGACTCACCTGGCCTTTTAAAACAGACTCCCACCTCCTTTATCATTTGTAACTAACACAGAACATTCTCCGGTTGAGAAGCAGGAATTGAAGGAAGTGAATGTCTTTTAACAAGACTGGATTTTATAAATGTAGTATATCATTTAATATTGGGGGAAGTTTATCACTTGGAGAAAGCAGCTCATACTATTAGTGCATATTTTGGTTGAATGAAGCTGTTGTTTTTCTCAAAAAACATAACATTTTCATTTTGACCTGCAAAAGGCAATTGCATGTGGCTCACCCTGATCATTTCCTAATCCCGGCAGAGCCCGGAGACGGAAAGGCACTCAGGAGCCAAAGCTACAGCTGCTCCTGAGGACTGCGGCTTCTTCCCGGGAGGGATGTGGCACAACCCAGGGAGTGAACATGCACGCGTGCGTGTGTGTGTGTGTGTGTGTGTGTGTGTGTGAAAGATGCTTAGGAGTTGGCCGAGCAGAAACCCAGGTGAAGAGTGCTTCAGCCTCCTTCCCTTCCTTTGACTGCAGCTGCTTTGCTCCTGGTGTGCTTTCTGTCTGGATGTTTGCTGTTCCTCTTCACCTTATTAACTCTACCCATCATGCACTTTTCCTCCAGGAAGTCTTCCCTGGTTGCCCCACCCCCGCCCCAGGTCAGGTCCCTTTGAGGCCTAAGAATCCCAGTATTGTTCCTGCATAATGTGATCACGGTCATAATATATTTATTTGTGTGATAATGTGTGTCTGTCTGTCTTTTCTGCTAGATTATAAGGTTCACAACAGCAGCGACTGAGTTTTTGCTTATATGATCATACCCCTGTCAAGGGCACAGGTCTAGTACAAGCATGTCAAACTCTCGGCCCGCTGGCTACATGCTGCCCACAATGAATATTTTTGCGGCCCAGCCAATATAACGGTCTGTAAGAAACGCTTTTTTTTTTTTTTTTAAATATATTTTATTGATTTTTTACAGAGAGGAAGGGAGAGAGATAGAGAGTTAGAAACATCGATGAGAGAGAAACATCGATCAGCTGCCTCCTGCACATCTCTCACTGGGGATGTGCCCGCAACCCAGGTACATGCCCTTGACCGGAATCGAACCTGGGACCTTTCAGTCCGCAGGCCGACGCTCTATCCACTGAGCCAAACCGGTTTTGGCTGTAAGAAACACTTTAATAAAAATTTTGTAAGTTAATTTTTACAATATCCTGTTATACATAATTAATAATGAGCTGCAACTTTCGATAATGACTGATTACTATAATCGTGTTGCATTCATTTCCCTTATGCGCCATTTCTCTCCACTAATACTAGCAGCGAATTTTTTTTTTTTAATTCTATTGATTTTTACAGAGAGGAAGGGAGAGGGATAGAGAGTTAGAAACATCGATGAGAGAGAAACATCAATCAGCTGCCTCCTGCACACCTCCTACTGGGGATGTGCCCGCAACCAAGGTACATGCCCTTGACCAGAATCGAACCTGGGACTTTTCAGTCCGCAGGCCGACGCTCTATCCACTGAGCCAAACCGGTTAGGGCAGCAGCGAATTTTTTAGCAGCCGATTGCCATGTCATTAGTCTTGGACTGACTTGTTTGGTGTGCGCAACGGGAAATATTTCACTTTTGGAGAACAAGAAAAATAGGTTTATTTGCATTTACGCTTATTAATTTGTGCAGTTATTCATTGTCTGGTAAGTTAATGTTCAAGAAAAGTATTAATTTTTATTAAAATGTTCTATTATATTACCGATGACTTATTTATTTCAGCCCTTTGTATTCAACATGTCTCTATTGAAATAAACCTATGTTTCTATGAAAATTGAGGCTTTTGTTTTTTTGCGGCCCACATAAACTTAAACCTTGTTTATTTGGCCCGTGTTAGCCTTTGAATTTGACATACTTGGTCTAGTACATAGTAGACACCTATTAATGTTTGTTCAACGAATAAATAAATGCGAGGGCCAGTTTCATCCACTTTGTAGAAAATTTGACAGCAAGTAATTAAAAACCAAATGAACAGTCGTTTAAATAAGTAGGTTTTGTTTTCTCTAACTGATGAAAATGTTCAAACATATAAAATACTTGAATTTTACAGTGATCCTGTGTAGCCTTTTATGAATAAAGCTGTTATGAATATTCTTGCAGAGTCTTTTTGTGGACATATGTTTACATTTCTCTTGGATAAACACCTAAAATTGGAGAACCTGAGTCATAGGCTATGTGTATATTTCATTTTCCCAAAATGATTACACCATTTTGTACTCCCTCTCACTAATATTTGATGTTATTAGTCTTTAAAAAAATTTTTTTAAATCCTCACCTCAGGATATTTATTTCCATTGATTTTTTTAAGAGAGAGTGTAAGGGAGGGGGAAAGAGAGAGAGACACATCCTGGGTGTGGGCTGTGTCTTATTTTGAGCTATTTTCCCCTAGGGATGCAGGCCATAATCGGGGTAGCTATGCAACAATGCTGTTGGGGGCCAGGCACTTTCTAGCTTTCTGCTCATCCTTAGTGGGTTGAGGATGATCCCATGCACGCCTCCTCGGGAGGCAGCCTCCGAGATGCTCTTAGTGATCCCTACACAGGTGTTCACCTTTGATCGGGCAGCCCCACCTCGCATCCTTAGGGACTCCGCTCTGGAGACAACTCTTCAGAAAGCCTGCGAGGACCACCGACTCCCTCAACAGCGGGTCGGGGCCTCCTCAGTAGCTGTGTGCAAATCCTTATCCCTTTTTTTGGGGGGGGGGGAGCCTAAATTTTTAGCTTGATCTAGTAGAAAATTAAAATAATACAATAGGACATGGAATGAAAAACAAGTCTTCCTCCTACCCTGCCGTGCTCTGTACCTTATTTTTCCAGTGCACTATTCATACAGCTCGAGCTCATCCTTCTGAGGGGCTGCACTGGCATTGTTTCATGCACGCCTTAATCTGCTCAGGCCATTTGGCGGTGCTCCCTGGGCTGTTTCTGGTTTTGCTCTGACGAGCGGTGCTGTCAACATTTTTGCGCAAGTGGGTTTGGGTGGGGAATGTCTTTCCTTCATTCAGATTCTTAGGGATGGGATTGCTAGATCAGAGGCTCAGTGGCTTTCGGCCGCTTTACTCTTCCCATCGACCACCCTCTCCTCTGGAGTCCAGTGTTAGGTCGGCTGCACTGGACGGGGTGATCGTGAGGGCAGCGCTTCCCAGGATTCCCATTTGCGTGGCGGATTGTCCTCAATAAATACTTGACGACGAATATTGTATCTCGCGGCGCCGACTCCACGGCCTGGCATACAGTAGACTCATCAGATGTCTCCAACTCCTCCATGATTAGACTTACTAACAGTTACTAAACTTAACGCCATAACGGGTGGCGACTGACCTCCCACCCGATCCTCACACTCCCTCTCTCCCTCCTTCCGGGGCGAGGCGTGGCCAGCACCGATTGGTATTCTGTGCACTCATTGGTCGATCCAGATGCCCGTCATTGTCAGATCCCGTCCGAGCCACGCCCCCACGCTGTTCCCCTAACCGAGAGAAGGCGTGGCCATAGTCTCGCGGGAGGGTCCGCCCGCCTACCTCTGGTGAGAAGCCCGACGCGCTTGAGGGCCGGCGTGAGTGGGTAGAAGCGCGGTCCCAAGTCCCACGGA